ACAGCTCAGTCCGCAGCACTTCACCCACATCCTGGCCTTATAAGCAAGTCCTGCCCAAGAAATAAATGAATCATTGACAGCCATGCCCCACCCCTTCCTGCTCTCTTTGCACCTCGGTCTTTCACAGTGGATAGGGCTTGGGCTGCAGGTGAAATGGATTTGCAATTCCCAGATAACCTAACCCACCAACTGGGAGTGGGCAGGAAGGCGTCAGCTCTTCCGGATGAAAAACCAGCCTACAATGCAGCGTTTCTACTCAGCCTACAAAGTAAACACCATTACCTCCACGCCTTAGGTCGGAGAAATTCCGCTTTACACAGTCCCATGGGCCTCATGTCACTTGTCCCTCCTGGCAGTCCTGTGGGTAGGTCGAGCAAGCAGTAGGACAAATGACTCCCATTTTTCAGATGTAAAAACTGAGGTTTGGAGGTGAAGGGACTTGCCCAAGGTCATCAGCTAGAATATAGCAGTGTTGGGATTAGAACCCAGGCCTGTCCGGGTCCACGGTCTGATCTGAACTCTGCTTCGGTTGGTCTGGAATGTAGTCCATGCACCCGCTGTATCTGATGACCTTATTAAAAATCTGTGGCTGTCGGGGTCCTCCCCCTAGAGATGCTGATTTAGTTGGTCTGGGGTGGGGCCTTAGGCCCTTGCACTTCACAGACTCCTCAGGTGATTCCAGTGAACCGGAGGCCTGGGAACTTCACCCCTCTGAGACCCAGAGTGGAGCCTGATCCTTAGCCCTGGCTGTGTATTTGAATCACTGGAGGAGCTTTTTAGCCTTTTATGATGGAAACATAAAGTAGACAGCATAGGATAATGCACTACCAAGAGCTCTTTTTCTTTTTATTTATTTTTGAGATAGTGTCTCACTGTTACCCAGGCTGGAGTGTGATGGCACAATCTCAGCTCGCTGTAACCTCTGCCTCCCAGGTTCAAGCCATTCTTGCGCCTCAGCCTCTCGAGTAGCTGAGACTACAGGCACGGCCAATTTTTATATTTTTTGTAGAGACGGGGTCTTGCCATGTTGCTCAGGCTGGTCTCGAACTCCTGAACTCAAAGGAATTCTCCCATCTCAGCCTGCCAAAGTGCTGAGATTACACATGTGAGCCACTGCGCCCAGCTGCCATGAGCTCTTTACCATGCATTGCATAGGTGAACATTTTAGTATGTATCTCCGAAGGACATGGATTTTTTTGTTGTTTATTTTTAATGACTTTTTATTTCGCAGTAGTTTGGCTCTCAAACAGTTACAAAAATAGCAGAGTTCCTGATGTCCATTGTTCAACTTTCTCTAATGATAACATCTAAAAGATAAAGATTTTTAAAACTGTAACTGTTGGGCTGCATGTGATGGCTCATGCCTGTTATTCCAGCTCTTTGGGAAGCTGAGGCAGGAAGATCACTTCAGCCCAGGAGTTTGAGACCAGCCTGATCAATAAAGCCAGACCTTGTCTTGACAAAAAACATATATATGTGACCTTTAATAATAATTAATATCAAATATTCTAGTAATCCATTGTGGTTGCACAGTGGTTCATTCTTATATGATTATTCATGTTTTAGCTGGGAATTTTTTTTTTTTTTTTGAGATGGAGTCTCGCTCTGTCTCCCAGGCTGGAGTGCAGTGGCCAGGTCTCAGCTCACCGCAAGCTCCGCCTCCCGGGTTTACGCCATTCTCCTGCCTCAGCCTCCCAAATAGCTGGGACTACAGGCGCCCGCTGCCTCGCCCGGCTAATTTTTTTGTATTTTTTAGTAGAGACGGGGTTTCACCGTGTTAGCCAGGATGGTCTCGATCTCCTGACCTCGTGATCCGCCCGTCTCGGCCTCCCAAAGTGCTGGGATTAAAGGCTTGAGCCACCGCGCCCGGCCTTGCTGGGATTTTTTTATGGAAAAGAGCTTCCCCTTCATTTTTTTGATCACTGATCACTCTGTAGTGATGGAATAAATGACTGTTTTCCTCGGGGAAGCCGCCTCTGACCCTGGTGAACCAAATGAGTACCTTTGGGAAAGGTGGAGAAAATACTTGTTTTTTTCCGGTTTTTCTGTTTTTGAACAATGACCTGGTTCACTGGCAACATCAGATGTTTCTCTTTATTCCCAGCGTCAATATGAAACTTATGTATATAAACATATGTGGTAAGGCAGGGCACGGTGGCTCAAGCCTGTAATCCCACCACTTTGGAAGGCCAAGGTGGGCAGATCACTTGAGTCAGGAGTTCGAGACCAGCCTGTTCGCCAACATGATGAAACCCCATCTCTACTTAAAATACAAACATTAGCCCAGTGTGGTAGCTCACGCTTGTAATCCCAGCTACTTGGGAGGCCGAGGCAGGAGAATCACTTGAATCCAGGGGGCAGAGGTTGCAGTGAGCCAAGATCATGTCACTGGACTCCAGCCTGGGCGACAGAGCGAGACTCCATCTCAAAAAACAAAACAAAAAAACCATGCGTGATATGTTTTAGCCCGTTGTACTTACTCTTCTTGTCAAAGCTCAAATTGTCCCTGTCTTAGCCTGCATTGGCTCTTCTGCTTGGCTCTTGAAGCTTTTAACAACCCTGTTCATGCTTAGTTTCCTTGTTGTCTGGTGTAACAAGATGTTCTTGGCTTACCTTGCTTATTTCCTGCCCAGCAACTTTTCCAAGAAAAATCTGGAAGTTTGAAACAAAAAGCTTCAGTGCCCCAGTCTCACCCCAAACAAACTTAATCAGAATCCCTGGTGCGGGTAAGGCCCGGATACAGTATTTTTTATATTTTTTGAAATTTTTTTTTTTTTGAGACAGGGTCCCTAGGCTGGAGTGCAGGGGCACGATCTCAGCTCACTGCATCCTCTGCCTTGTGGGTTCAAGCAGTTCTGCCTCAGCCTCCCGAGTAGCTGGGATTACAGGCATGAGCCACCACATCCAGCTAATTTTTTGTATTTTTGGTAGAGACGGGGTTTCACCATATTGCCTAGGCTGGTCTCGAACTCCTGACCTCAAGTAATCTGCCCACCTTGGCCTCCCAAAGTGCTGAGATTACAGGCGTGAGCCACCACACCCAGCCAGGATACAGTATTTTTTAAAAAGCACTCCCAGCCTTGAATGGAAAAACCACTTGAGGAGAGTATGCCGCCTTATCTGGCTCTGTAAAGATGTTAGAGCCACACAAGGCTGGAACTTTTGAGTGGAGTCCTTGGCTAAAGCTTTCATTACTGCGTGGTGACCTCTCTTCCCTCTGCTGCTAAATCTTGTGTTTCAGAATTGAGACCCGGATGCATCCATGTTGAAAGCCAGAGTTTGTCATCCCAGGACCTCTGTGTTGGTCCCTTTCCTTGCCTGCGTGTTGTTGACTTGGGGCTCATCTTCATACCTGTGGGAAATAAGTTATTCGATTGCTTGCTGAGAATCTCTCGGTACTTCCCATTGCCCTTAGAATGAAGACCAAAATATGTGGCCTGCAGTGTAGACTGTGCACAGCTTCCAGTGTAGACTGCTGAGGCCCCTTCTTGGTTCCTGGAGTCCGCCATGCTTACTTCTGCCACCCGGCCTTTGCACACACTGCTGTCTGCTGGGAATGCGTTGCCTTTCCTTATTACTTAGTTCTCCTCTACTCACCCTTCAGGTGCCAGCTTGACTGTCTTCCTCGGGGGAGCCTTCTCTGACCTTGGTACACCAGATCAGCCCCCATGCACTTACTTTGTCTCGTTGGTAATACTTCTTTCCCTTCAGGATGCACATCAAGGCCCAGAAGTTGTAGTTTTGCATTAGTTCATGTGATCATTTGAAGCGTGTCTCTCTCTGGAGCCTGACTCTTTGGGGCTCACATCCTGACTCCACCACTGTTAGCTGTGGGACCTTGAACGTATCTTTTCGTCTCTGGTCCCCAGTTTTTAGATTTAATTTTACTTTTATTTTGAGATAGTCTTGCTCTGTTGCCAGGCTGGAGTGCAGTGGCACAACCTTGGCTGACTGCAGCCTCCGCCTCCTGGGTTCAAGTGATTCTCCTGCCTCAGCCTCCCAAATAGCTGGGACTACAGGCGCCCACCACCACACCCAGCTAATTTTTGTATTTTTAGGAGAGACGGGGGTTTCACCATGTTGGCTAGGATGGTCTCGATCTCTTGACCTCACGATCTGCCCACCTCGGCCTCCCAAAGTGCTGGGATTACAGGCCCAGTTTCTTTTGACTGCAAAACAGGGGTGATATAATTACTTTCATCTATCTTGTGAGGTGAGGATGAAGATTAAATAAGGTAGTTTGTGTAAAGCACTTAGAACAGAGCCAGCTATTAATAGTAGAGAATCTTGGCAGGTATTACTGATGATTGCTGCAGTAGACCACAAGCTCCATACAGGCAGGGGTCATTTCTGTTTGTTTAGATTTGTATGCAGGGTGCTTGGCACAAGGGTAGTGCTCGGAAAATACTTGTTGGATGAATGAAGGAATGAAGTGGAGATAATAGTAATACCATGTTTATAGAATTCCATGAGGATATAAAATAATGCAATTATATAAGCTCTTGGTAGAGCATCTAGCACAGAGTAGGTGGTCAGTAAATATTCAGTGACCAAATGAGTAAAGTGGGGACAATAGTAACACCCACTCATGAGGTTGCTGTGGGGATACAAGGCAACCCTGTAGTACCTTGTAGAATGCCTAGCACATAGTAGGTGCTCCAGAAAATATTTGTTGAATGAATGAGTGAAGTAGGGATGACGTTAACACCAGCTCCTAGGGTTGTTACGGAGATACAAGATAAGGCAGGTCTGTAGCATGTTGTATTATGGTTGCACACGGTAGACACTCTGTTGATTGAAACTGGAGGAGCTGCCATGAGTTTCTTTTTGCTGGGGATTAGGAGAGGATCCTTTTGGGGTGCAGAATGGTGTGGAGCTGACGCTGGTCCTCTGGAAGGAAGAGTGAGCAGCTGACTACCCCTTGCTAAGCTCTGACCTGGATGAAAAGTTGAATCGTTCCTTTCCCTGTTCCTTCCAAACCTGTGCTTTCTTTCCACTAGAATCCTTGCCCGGAGTCCAGCGCCTCCTTCCTGTCCAGGATCACCTTCTGGTGGATCACAGGGTAAGACTGGGCCCCCCAGACCTCAGGGAGGTGGTGGGGAATGAATGAATGAACGAATGAATGAACATGAACATGCTCAGCTCCCTCCCGACTTCTCCCTCCTCCGCTCTTCAGCACAGTTGTCTTGAATCTGCCTGTGCTGGCCATGTGGTCTCAGAGATACCACCTCTGTCCATCAGTTCCATGAACTTGAATGTGATATACACAGGAGCCGTGAGCAGCTTACACCTCTGCAGAAGGCTTTGCCTGGGACAGCCATACGCTGGACTGCTCTTGCTTTAGCTTCAGATTTGGGTTTTTAAAATATTACGTATAGTTACTCTTAAGATTGTCCCCCTCCTGCCCCCCACTCCTTAGAGAAATAATACTGTCTCACCATGGGAAATGTGGGTTAAAAAACCACATGTGCAGATCAGCAGTAAGGAAACACACAGAGGCAACCAGTTTCACCATTTTAGTATGCCAACTTCTGGTCTTCTTTCTTTTTTTTGGAGACGGAGTCTCGCTCTGTCAATCGCAGCTCACTACAGCCTCCGCCTCCCAGGTTCAAGTGAGTCTGCTGCCTCAGCCTCCCAGGTAGCTGGGATTACAGGTGTGCGCCACCATGCCCTGCTAATTTTTGTATTTTTAGTAGAGACAGAGTTTTGCCTTGTTGGCCAGGTTGTTCTTGAACTCCTGACTTCAGGTGGTCCACCCACATCAACCTCCCAAAGTGCTGGGATTACAGGTATGAGCCACCATGTCCAGCTGCCTTCTGGTTGTCTTTTTGTACATCTTTTTCTGCCCATTGTTAGCATCTTATTGGGGATTGTTTGAAGGATCTTTTTTTGCCCCTAATATGCATCATCTTTTTTTTTTTTTTTTTTTTGAGACAGGCTTTTGCTGTGTTGCTAAGGCTGGAGTGCAGTGGCACAATTGTAGCTCACTGCAGTCCCACTCTACTGGGTTTAGGTGATGCTCCTGCCTCAGCCTCCTGAGTAGCTGGAACTACAGGCACGCTCCCCCGTGCCCAGCAGATTTTTGTACTTTCTGTAGAGATGGGATTTCATCATGTTGCCCAGGCTGGTCTCCAACTCCTGAGCTCAAGTGATTCTCCCGCCTCAGCCTCCCAGAATGCTGGAATTACAGGCATGAGCCACCATGCCCGCTCTCATCTTTGTCTTAATGACAAACATCTTTTTAAAAAATTGGATGTTTTAAATAATTACTTGAAATTACTGTTAAGCATCAGTGGGACAGTTGATATAATTTGCACATGACTACAGGACACCAGATGCATGTTAATAACTTTCATTCTTCTTTTGGGAAATTGTGCTCTAGTTAAATAAGAGCATGTCCTGGATTGGAAGGGGATGCCTCCAGTTTTTTTGGGGTAAAGGCATAAGGCATGTAGAACCTATATGTTAACTTTTTTTTTTTTTTTTTTTTTTTAAATGGGACGAGTCTCGCTCTGTCGTCCAGGCTGGAGTGCGGTGGCAGGATCTCAGCTCACTGCAACCTCTGCCTCTTGAGTTCAAGAGATTCTCCAGTCTCAGCCTCCTGAGTAGCTGGGATTACAGGGACCTGCCACCACACCCAGCTAATTTTTGTATTTTTAGTAGAGATAGGGTTTCACTATATTGTCCAGGCTAGTCTCAAACTTCTGACCTTAGGTGATCCACCCACCTCAGCCTCCCAAGATGCTGGGTTTACATGTGCGAGTCACCATGCCAGACCTTTAACTGTTTAAATGGTTCGGAAAAAGGTGGTGTGTTTGCATATGTATGTGTGTGTGTGTGTGTACGTGTCAGTGGATAGAGACAGAGAATGATACTGCCTACATGGCAACATGTTAACAGTGGTGAGTTGAGTGAATTCTTAGTATGATTTGAGTAATTTTTCTGTAAGTTCAAAATCAGAACAAAAGATGAAAGTATTTTACCTTTTATTACAAAAGTGTTTAGTCTGCTGGGCGCGGTGGCTCATGCCTGTAATGTTAGCATTTTCGGAGGCCAAGGTAGGTGGATCACCTGAGGTCAGGAGTTCGAGACTAGCCTGGCCTGCATGGTGAAACCCTGTCTCCACTAACAATACAAAAATTAACCGGGCAGCACATGCCTGTAATCCCAGCTACTTGGGAGAGTGAGGCAGGAGAATTGCTTGAATCGATGCAGTGTGTCGAGATCGTGTCATTGCACTCCAGCCTGCGTGAGTCACATAGAAATATTAATATAATAAAACTCAGTAAGCTCATCACCCAGATTTCATGCTTGCTAATGCTTTGTCATGTCAGCCTTTTAATTTTTTTATTTTTTCCTTCTTCTTTTTTTTTTTTTTTATGGGGTCTGACTCTGTTGCCCAGGCTGGAGTGCAGTGACACAATCACGGCTCTCTGCAGCCTCCACCTCTTGGCCTTGAGCAATCCTCCCACCTCAGCCTCCTGAGTAGCTGGGACTACAGGTGAGAGGCATTATGACTGGCTAATTTTTTTATTTTTACTTTTTGTAGAGATAGTCTCCCTATGTTGCCCAGGCTGGTCTTGAACTCCTGGGCTCACAAAGTCCTCCCACCTCAGCCTCCCAAAGTGCTAGGATTATAGGCATGAGCTACCATGCCTGGCCCATATCAGCCTTTTTTAATTTAAAATTTTAAAAAGTTGGCGGGGCACGGTGGCTCATGCCTGTAATCCCAAGACTTTGGGAGGCCAAGGTGGGAGGATTGCTTGAGCCCAGGGGTTCAAGACCAGCTTGGGCAACATAGGGAGACTCTGTCTCCACAAAAACAAAAAATAAAAAAAATTAGCTAGTCACAACGGCTTGCACCCAAAGTCCCAGCCACTCGGGAGGTTGAGGTGGGAGGATTGCTCTAGACCAGGAGCTGGAGGCTGCAGGGAGTCGTACCACTGTACTCCATCCTGGGTGACACAGTGAGACCCTGTCTCCAAATAAGTAAATGAATGAATGAATAATAACAAATAAATTAGAGCCATCCTGATATTTCTCTCCTAAATCATCTTTTTTTCCCTAAGTCTTTTGTATGCACCACTAAAAAAAAAAAAAAAAAAGAAAAAGAGTCATTTTTCCTGCATGACCCAACAGAATGAGCTGTAATTACCTTGTAATATGCAGAAATGTCCATCCACATTCTGACTTTCCCAGATGCGTGGCTGCCGTCATTTGCAATGGGCAGTTGTGCTGCATCAGCAGGCGTGTGGAGTGAGCGAGCCCCGTCCTCCTCCTTCTCTCATTGACTCTCATTGCCTAACCTCCTTGCGTCTTGGCCCCAGGTTGATTGTCCGGGGCTACCGCCAGCCCCTGGAGGGCAGTGACCTCTGGTCCTTAAACAAGGAGGACACGTCGGAACAAGTCGTGCCTGTTTTGGTAAAGAACTGGAAGAAGGAATGCGCCAAGACTAGGAAGTAAGTGTGAGTTTCCTTGGCCTCCAGGATGCCCCGGTCACCTCCTTTCCGCTACTATGGCCCGAATCCAGGGTGGGGCCCTGGCAATGCTGCCTGTTACTAGCTTTGTGGTTCTGGGCAAGATGCCTCACTTCTCTTCCTGGCCTCAGTTTACTTTTCTGCCAAATGGGGTAGAATCTAACATGTCATTAAGGCAACTGGGTAGAGAAAAGAAGAAAGAAGCCAGGCGCGGTGGCTCTTATGTCTGTAGTCGCAGCACTTTGGGAGACCGTGGCAGCTGGATCACTTGGTTGGGAGTTTGAGACCAGCCTGACCAACCTGGTGAAACCCCATCTCTACTAAAAGTACAAAAATTAGCAGGGTGTGGTGGCAGGCGCCTGTAATCCCAGCTACACAGGAGGCTGAGGCAGGAGAATCACTTGAACCCAGGAGGCGGAGGTTGCAGTGAGTTGAGATTGCACCCCTGCATTCTAGCCTGGGAGACAGTGAGAGTCCGTCTCAAAAAAAAAAAAAAACAGAAAAGAAAAGAAAGAAAGAAGAATGCTGTCCAAGCAGGCAGTTGATGCTGTTTGCCATGACCTGTGACTATTCCTCCTTGAGTCGGTCTCACCTTTTTTGTCTCTTAGCATCTGGCATCCTGCATGTTCTTGCTGCTTGAATGTTCTGTCCAACATGCCCAGCTAACCATGTACGTCTCTTTAGCCAAAGAAGCCCCATTTGAGGGTGATTTTGGCTGTACTGGATTTTATACTCTACCCCCTATGTAAGGCATGCCCCACTGCGCCTCCTCTGTCATTCTTTCGGGAATCAGGCCAGGGCCACTGCTGCACATACCTTAACTTACCAGATTTGAGACGCCATTAGTTGCATGATGCATTGTTATTCTATGTAACAGTAAGAAAGAAAAGCAGCTGCACATTAAACAAGGACGTAAGACGTGTCCTGAGCCCGGATGAGCTGGAACATGAAATTGCAGGTGACGTGGGGCCAGTGGGTTGCTGTTCTGGGGCCAGTAGAACAGCTGTTTTTGTTCTGTTGCCTGTTCCGGGGTAAGTTTACTACGATAAGCCATGAGGGGGCCAGTCTGGTGCACTGGATTCCCGATAGACCTATTGGCCTTACAGGGAAAAACCCCAGACCCGGGTTCAGTTCCTCATTCTGTTCCGGGGATGCCCAGGATACAGCCCTTTAGTCAGACCCAAATGGTGGGTGGGAATCTGGGACATCCATGGTGCCAGCCACTAGGATATCAGCAGAGGACCTTGTGACTCTGGTGGGAGGCTGTTTGGGTGGTCCAGGTGATGGGAGAAATTGTCTCGTGGGAGGCAGATAGAGCTTGGGCCTCTGTGGCTGAGCATTGTAAGGAAATGGCCCATGTTTATGACCCAGTTGAAGGTCTTTGGCAGGTGGAGGTGGCATCCCTGTTTATTACAGTTCTTCATGGAGACAGAACTAGTAGGACTGATGGATGGATGGACAGATGGATGATAGATAGATGATAGATGATGATTGATAGATGATAGGTAGATGATAGATGGATAGTTGGTGGATGTGTACATGATAGGTGGATGGATAGATGATAGATAGATGGATGATAGGTGGATGATTGATCGATGATGGATGGATGGATGGATGGATCAAGGGTGAGGGGGGATCTACTAGGGAAACTGAATCTTGTGATTATGGAGGCTGAGAAGTCTCACACTAGGTCATCTGCAAGTTGGAGAACCCAGGAAGCTGGTAGCATGGCTCAGGCCAAGTCTGAAGGTCTCAGACGCAGGGAAGTTGATGATGGAATTCTCAGTCCATGATCAAAGGCCTGAGAACCTGGAGTCCCTGGGGTAAGTCCCAGAGTCCAGAGGCCAGACATCCTGGAGTTGCGATGCCCAAGGGCGGGAGAGGATGACATCCCGGCTGCAGAAGAGAGAGCGCCTGTATTTGCCATTACTCTGACTTTTTGTTGTGCCTGGACCCTCTGCTGATTGGGTGGTGCCACCCACATGGGGCGAGGATGGATCCTCCTTAGTCAGCCCACTGATTCAAATGCCAGTCTCCTCTAGAAACACCCTCACAGACACACCCAGAAATAACACTTTACCAGTCATCTGGGTAGCCCTTAACCCAGTCAACTTGACCCCTAACATCACCCATCACATCTGGATCCTTTCGGCCTCACCTGCAGCATCCCCCGCGCTAAGCAGGCCACATTTGTAGCGTGGGCTTCACCATTCCTCGTCATCCATGCCTCTGCTGATCCCCTGGCTCGGCTTCCTCTCATGGAAGAAGGACGCCCACCTTTGTGTCCCCGGGAGCTTGCCAGGAGAGCACGTTGCTGGAGACACCGTGGGAGAGGCCAATATCATAGCCTCTGGAGGAGGACGGAGTTTGAATCAAGTTCCTCCACTGGCCTGGCCCTTAATCCATTGAGCAGATGAAACTGACTGCTGCTTTTGTGCTTAGTGATGTTTAGTCCCTGAGGGTTCAGAGAGTGGGACACAAGAGACACACTAGTTGGGTGCCATCAACGTTCTATATGGGAGATAGGACGTTGGTTGTGAAACATGCGTTGACAAGATCTTTGGAGAGTGATAGTGCTGGGGTGAGATAAAAACGAGGAAGTGAGGGTGAGAGTAACCGAGGAAGCTTTTTGTTGTTGTTGTTTGTTTGTTTTGGAGATGGAATCTCTCTCTGTTACCCAGGCTGGAGTGCAGTAGTGTGATCATGGCTTACTGTAACCTCTGCCTCTCGAGTTCAAGTAATTCTCCTGTCCCGGCCTCCCAAAGTGCTGGGATTACAGGTGCATGCCACCATGCCTGACTAGTTTTTGTGTTTTTGGTAGAGATGGGGTTTCACCATGTTGGCCAGGCTGGTCTCGAACTTCTGACCTCGAGTGATCCTTGTGCCTTGGCCTCCCAAAGTGCTGGGATTATAGGCATGAAGCTACCGTGCCTGGCTGAGGGGGCTATTTTAGATACAGTGGTCAGAGTTCTACCCAGTGCGGCCATGACTCTACGTGAGCATGTGCCTGTCCCTCCCTAAGTCTATCTCTGCCTCTTTCCGAGCATCTGGCATCCTGAGTGTTACTGCTTTTTGAAGTGTTTTTGTTCAATATGCCCAGCTGACCATGTATGTCTGTTTTGAGAAGGTCACATTTGAGCAGAGACTTCATCGGAGGGAGTGAGCCTTGTGTGTCTCTGCGGAAGGAAGGGCCTTCCAGGTAGAAGGAACAGCAAGTGCAAAGGGTCTGAGGACGCTCGTGGTGCAGCAGGGGGCTCGTGTGGCTTGAGTAAAGTGAGTGAGGAGGAGAAAGGGGGGAAATCAAGCAGGAGAAGGATTTGCAGGGGTCTCCTCTGAGAGTCGGGGTGGGATTCCAGGTGCAGTGAGAACACGGGCAGGTTTTCTGCAGGGCAGTGCTGTGACGTGAGTTCTGTTGTATGTCTGTATGTATGTATGTATTTATTTATTTTAGAGACAGGGTCTTGCTCTGTTGCCCAGGCTTGATTGTAGTGGCATGATCACAGCTCATTGCAGCCTGGAAATTCTGGGCTCAAACAATCCTCCCACCTCATCCTTCAGAGTAGCTGGGATTACAGGTGCACACCACCATGCCTGGCTAATTAATTAATTTATGCTTTGTATTTTATTTATTTTTTTGAGACGGAGTTTTGCTCTTGTTGCCCAGGCTGGAGTGCAATGGTGCGATCTTGGCTCACTACAACCTCCGCCTCCCTGGTTCAAGTGATTCTCCTGCCTCAGCCTCCCGAGTAGCTGGGATTACAGGCATGTACCACCACGCCTGGCTAATTTTGTACTTTTAGTAGAGATGGGGTTTCTCCATGTTGGTCAGGCTGGTCTCAAACTCCCGACCTCAGGTGATCCACCTGCCTCGGCCTCCCAAAGTGTTGGGATTACAGGTGTGAGCCACTGCGCCCGGCCTTTTAAAATTTTTTTTATAGAGACAGGTCTTACTATGTTGCTCAGGCTGGTCTCCAACTCCTGGCTTTAAGCAGTCCTCCTGCCTCAGCCTCCCAAGTAGGTGGGATTATAGGTGTGAGCCACCACACCCAGCTGAGTTCTGGTTTATGACTACCCAAGCCGCACTGAGGAAAGTGGATATTAGGGACAAGAATGAAAGCAGGGAGACCAGGATGGGGACCTCAAGGGCTGTCCATGAAGTCCCTTCATGCCTCACTGGGAGCCTCTGTTTATTTATTTTTTGAGACAGGGAGTCACTCTTTCGTCCATGCTGGAGTACAGTGGCGCGATCTCGGCTCACTGCAACCTACATCTCCTAGGCTGGAGTGATCCTCCCACCTCAGCCTCCCAAGTAGCTGGGACTACAGGCATGCGTCACCACACCTGGCTATTTTTTTTTTTTTTTGTAGAGATGATGTCTCGCCATGTTGCCCAGGCTGTGCTCAAGCAGTCCGCCTACCTTGGCCTCCCAAAGTGCTGGGATTATAGGCGGGAGCCACTGTGCCTGACCGGAGCCTCCATTTTTTACCCAGAGCATTTTCTGAGAATTCAGTGAGATACATGTCATGATAAGCTGTGCACTAGTCCTGAGTAAATGCTGGGCAGGTTTTAGTTGTACAAGTTGTGTTTATTCATCTGTACGCTTCCATCTTGCCGGGGAGAATGTGGTGAGAGCTGGGTCTTTGGGCTTGGAAGCGGGCCACCTGAGAGGGGTCTGCCTCTGTGAGTACCTTGGTGTTTAGGGATGCTCAGCATGGGGCCAGGAGGTCATTTCCTTGGGACACTGGTAGACGGATTGCTTGCTTTATTCCCAGAGGCGTAAGCCAGATCTGGCACCTGTAACCCCTGTGAACCTGGAGAGAGTGACAAGGAAAACCCTGTCCTGGGCTGGAATTTCCTGGTGTGGCCCCTTACACCCAGATCCCTTTAGTTAACCAGAGAAAGGAATGCAGCCTGTGCAACTCGGGGCTGCTGGGTGTCCTAGGCTCGGGGATCAGGTGAGGGACGCCTGGGCTGAGGGGTCTGTGTGACTTTCTGGATCCCTTTACCACCTCTCTCCACCCCTGAGTGACTCCCTCTCAAAAGTCCGGTACGGCTGGGCATCGTGGCTCATGCCTATAATCGCAGCGTTTTGGGAGGCTGAGGCAGGAAGATCACCTGAGTTCATGAGTTCGAGACTGGCCTGGCCAAAATGGTGAATCCCTGTCTCTACTAAAAATACAAAAATTAGCCAGGTGTGGTGGCGTTTGCCAGCTACTGGGGGGCTGAGGCACAAGAATTGCTTGAACCCGGAAAGTGGAGGTTGCAATGAGCCAAGATTGCACCACTGGACTGCAGCCTGGGTGGCAGAATGAGACTCCATCTCAAAAAAAAAAAAAAAAAAAAAAAGGCAGGTGTGAGTGATCTCCCTGCTCTACCTTTGGGTTTAAAAACCCAGTACTGCGTTGGTTTGTGTGTAGTGGTTTTATGTTCTCTTTTGTGCATGGCCACTCAGAGCTAAGGGCCATTTTGGACTATGGTTTCTGCTGGCATGAATGTGAAATGTTTCTGTGACTCTGGAAGAGTTTGGCAGTTTTTTTTTTTTTAAGTTAGACATAGTGACCATACCGCCAGTCACTCACTTCCCAGGCATCCACCCAAGAGAGCTGAGAACGTATGTTCATAAAAGACGGGTACAGGAATGTTCTTAGCTACTTTGTGATAACCCAAACTGGAGGTAAGCCAGACAAATATTAGCAAGTGAACACACAGATGTACTAGTTATGTGCATCTGCATGACTGAATACTAACTGATGTACAAGAATGAACTATTGGCCGGGCACAGTGGCTCATGTCCATAATCTCAGTACTTTGGGAGGCCGAGGCAAGCGGATCACTTGAGGTGAGGAGTTAGAGACCAGCTTGACTAACATGGTGAAACCCCGTCTCTACTAAAAATATGAAAATGAGCCGGGTGTGGTGGTGCACGCCTATAATCCCAGCTACCCGGGAGGCTGAGGCAGGAGAATTGCTTGAACCCGGGAGGCAGAGGTTGCAGTGAGTCGAGATCGCACCATTGCACTCCAGTCTGTGTGATAGAGCAAGACTGCATCTCAAAAAAAAAAAAAAATCCCTGTAAGATAAAGACTAGTTTTTTGGTGACAGCTTTATTGAGATATTCATATACCACACGATTCATGTATGCAGAACATACAATTTATTGATTTTTAGTGTGTTCACAGAGTTGTGCAGTCATCATCACAGTCAATTTTATTTACTTGCTTTTTAAGACAGAATCTTGCTCTGGTGCTGAGGCTGGAGTGCGGTGGCGCGACCTCAGCTCATTGCAACCTCCTCCTCCTCCTGGGTTCAAGCGATTCTTCTTCCTAGCCTCCTAAGTAGCTGGGATTACAAACACCCACCACCATGCCCGGCTTATTTTTTGTATTTTTAGTAGAGATGAGGTTTTGCCATGTTGGTCAGGCTGTTCTCATACTCTTGACCTCAAGTGATCCACCCCCCTCATCCTCTCAAAGTGCTGGGATTACAGGCATGAACCACTGCACCTAGTGAAAAAAAAATTTTTTTTAAGAAACAGGGTCTTGCTGTGTTGCCCTGGCTGGTCTGTTTCTCTCTCTCTCTCTCTTTTTTTTTTTTTTTTTTGCATTGAACTGTATATCTATATATGCCTGTCACTTTGCCTGTCTTGATTATTGTTCTTTTTTTTTTTTTTTGAGATGGAGTCTCACTCTTTTTGCCCAGGCTGAAATGCAGTGGTGCAGTCTCAGCTCACCACAGCCTCTGCCTCTTGGGTTCAAGCGATTCTCCTGCCTCAGCCTCCCAAGTAGCTGGGATTACAGGTATGCGCCACCATGCCTGGCTAATTTTGTATTTTTAGTAGAGACAGGATTTCTCCATGTTGGTCAGGCTGGTCTTGAACTCCTGACCTTAGGTGATCTGCCCACCTTGGCCTCCCAAAGTGCTGGGATTATAGGCGTGAGCCACTGTGCCTGGCCTATTGTTGTTCTTTGTTTTTGAGACAATGGTGCGATCTGGGCTCACAGCAACCTCCACCTCCCAGGTTCAAGTAATTCTCCTGCCTCAGCCTCCCAAGTAGCTGGGATTACAGGCACCTGCCACCACGCCCAGCTAATTTTTGTACTTTTAGTAGAGATGGGGTTTCACTATGTTGGTCAGGCTGGTCTCAAACTCCCGACCCCAAGTGATCCACCCGCCTTGTCCTCCCAAAGTGCTGGGATGACAGGTGTGAACCACCATGCCTGGCCATGATTGTTGTTTTGTATTGTTTTGAAATCAGGAACTGTGAATTCTCCAACTTGGTTCTTATTTTTCATGATCGTTTTGACTGTTGTAGATCCTTGAGTTTCCATGTGAATTTTAGAGTTAGCTCATTAATTTCTACCTGGAAGCCAGCTGGGGTTTTGATAGGCATTACCTTGACTCTAGATCAGTTTGGAGCCATCAGTTTTCTCAGTCTTTCACTTACTCAACTCGTTTAATCTTACCTACCTTGGAGGGAGGTCCTGCTTTTATCCTCATTTCACAGAGGAGGAAACTGAGGCCCAGAGAGTTTTAAGGACCTTGCCTGAAGCCACACAGCTGGCCAGTGGCCAAGCCAGACCTTGAGCCGGTGGCTCTGGAGTCCGTGTTTGTAACCGCTGTGCTGAGCTGCCCCTCTCCCTGGGCTTGTCGTCTTTGACTCTGCCTTCCCTGAAGGGTGACTTTTCCTGACCATGTCCCTCCGGTGCGGGGGGGGCTGCATCACTGGCAGACACCACAACGGCTTCACCTCCTTGTGTTCCAGGCAGCCAGTGAAGGTCGTGTACTCCTCCAAGGATCCTGCCCAGCCGAAAGACAGTTCCAAGGTGGATGCGAATGAGGAGGTGGAGGCTTTGATTGTCAAGTCCCCACAGAAGGAGTGGAACCCCTCCCTGTTTAAGGTGTTATACAAGACCTTTGGGCCCTACTTCCTCATGAGCTTCTTCTTTAAGGCCATCCACGATCTGATGATGTTTTCCGGGCCGGAGATCTTAAAGTAAGACCCTTTTCCTCCCAGGTGGGCTCTGTTTTCCCTCCTTGGGTTTGGTCTTTCATTTGCATCAGTCATAACCCCAGGGTCATGCTGTGTCCTGAAGTGGGTTCCTAGCCAGATGTCTCCATTTTACCTTAGCTTTTTTGAAAAAAATAGAGACAGGGTCTTGCTTTTTAATGTTGGTCAGGCTGGTCTCGAGCTCCTGACTTCAAGCAATCCTCCTGCCTCAGCCTCCCAAAGTGCTGGGATTGCAGATGTGAGCCACGGTCACTGCCTAGCTTTGCTTTACGCTTTACTTAATTACCATATTAGTGAAGACCACTTTGTTTGCAAGTAACAGAAACTCACTAGGCTCCCCTGAAACCCAAATGGGGAGGATATGGCATTGTCTTGGGAAACCAAGAGCAAGGAAATGCCAGCAGATCTCATGAAAAAATGCAACCAGGGTTGGGCGCAGTGGCTCATGCCTGTAATCCCAGCACTTTGGGAGGCTGAGGCGGGCAGATCACCTGAGGTCAGGAGGTCAAGACCAGCCTGGCCAACATGGCAAAACCGTCTGCTAAAAATACAAAAATTAGCTGGGCGTGGTGGCACACACCTGTAATCCCAGCTACTCGGAAGGCTGAGGCATAAGAATTGCTTGAACCCAGGAGGCAGAGGCTGCAGCGAGCCAAGATCGCTTCACTGAACTCCAGCCTTGGCGACAGAGCGAGACTTTGTCTCCAAAAAAAAGAAAAAAAAAAAAAAAAAAAAAACTCAGGAACCGGGGAGTCCGAAAGGAGGTTGTCTGTCTCCTCCCTGGCTCTGTGCTGCTCTGTGACTTAGGGGCTGCACATTCATTCTCTTTCCCTCCCTACCTCTTTCCCTGGTGTTCTCTGTGCAATTCCTTTGGGTGACTTGCTGGTGATGAGAGAGAGCTAGAGTATTTAGTACACAACCCCAAGACAGAGGCCTCTGTTATGAGCAGTTTGGGCCACCTGCACAGCCAGATCACCGCTGTGGACTTGTTTTTCCATCTGTGAAACTGAAGTGATAGTGTCTAGCCTGTCTGGCTCAGGAGAAAGTTGGAATGCCCAACACTGAAGCCCTTTTCCCTGCCCCCACATGTCACAAGTCATTCCAGGCCCTCTCTTTGCTCCTTTGCAGGTTGCTCATCAACTTCGTGAATGACACAAAGGCACCAGACTGGCAGGGCTACTTCTACACCGCACTGCTGTTCGTCGCTGCCTGCCTGCAGACCCTGGTGCTGCACCAGTACTTCCATATCTGCTTCGTCAGCGGCATGAGGATCAAGACCGCCGTCATTGGGGCTGTCTATCGGAAGGTAGGGGGCGCTGTGCCGTTGGCATGTGGCCCGACTTTGACATCCCCTCTTGCAGCCCTGGGTTACTCTGGGACCAGCGTGGGGATTTCCAGCCCAGCTTCCGGAGCAGTAGGATGAGGGTAACTTCCGTGGCCTTAGGTGGCATGGACACTGGGCATCAGGCATTGTACGTTAGCAAAGCTGATTTCAAGGGTTGGCGTGTAGATGTCCTTGTGTATCAGCTCTGGGTAATTGAGTTTCTTAGATGGATTGGTGGCCCTCCGTGTGGTGAAATCCAATTTGGATCCTCGTTCTGCTGTTAACATTCTGTGTTTCAGTTTACTGTCACTCTTGTTTTTCTTTTTTTTTGAGAGTGAGTCTCACTCTGTCCCCCAGACTAGAGTGCAGTGGCATGATATTGGCTCACTGCAACTTCCACCTCCTGAGTTCAAGCAGTTCTTCTGCCTCAGCCTCCTAAGTAGCTGAGACTACAGGTGCCTGCCACCATAACCTGCTAATTTTTGTATTTTTAATAGAAACAGGGTTTTGCCACGTTGGCCGGGCTGATCTTGAACCGCTGACCTCAGGTGATCCACCTGCCTCAGCCTCCCAAAGTGCTGGGATTACAGGCATAAGCCACTGCACCCAGCCTGTTATCACTCTTAATTTGAACTGAGCAGGTGGCACATTCCTTGCATGATAAGAGTATGTAGCAGGCATTTGTGTACATCCAGTTTCAAAGGAACCAAATTATCTTCTTGATCCCTATACATTTTTTTTTTTTGGTCTCGAGGTCAAGGAAACTGCTTGGCCCATAGGTTAGGAAGAGGCAGTCTCGCAGGTATTTGATGAAGGGTGATTCTCAAGCCTGTCTGTGAATTAGACTCACTTGGGGAGCTTAAACTGCTACAGGCCAGGCACTGTGACTCATGCCTGTAATCCCAGCAGTTTGGGAGACCAAGATGGGAGAATCACTGGAGGTTGGAAGTTCAATACCAGCCTGGTCAATATAACAAGACCCCACTCTGCAGAAAATAAAAAAAATTAGCCAGGTATGGTGGTGTGCACCTGTAGTCCCAGCTACTCACGAGGTTGAGTTAAAAGAATCGCCTGAGCCCAGGAGTTAGAGGCTGCAGTGAATCCTGATGGTAGCCCTCCATTCCATCCTGTGTGACAGAATGAGACCCTGTCTCGAAAAAAACTTCCTGACACCTAGGTTGTACCAGACCAGTGAAATTGAGATTGCTGAGGTTGCACCCAGGTGTCAGTGTTTTTATTTTTTATTTATTTTTATTTTTTGAGACAGGGTCTCGCTCTGTCACCCAGGCTGGAGTGTAGTGGCACGATCTTGACTCACTGCAGCCTCCACCTCCTGGGCTCAAGCGATCCTGCCAACTCAGTCCCCCATGTAGCTGGGACCAGAGGCGTGCATCACCACACCTGCTAATGTCTTAGTGTTTTTAAAACTCACCAGATGATAGTGTACAACCATGTTTGAGGGCCAGGGAGATTTGTACCCCAGCCTCCAGGGCACGTTTGGCAATATCTGGGGGCATTTTTGGTTGTTCCAACTGGGGGTGAGGGCATGTAGTGAGTGGAGGCCAGGGATGCTGGTAAACCTCCTACAGTGTACAAGATAGACAGACCCCCAAAGAATTATCCAACCCCAGATGTCAAGAATGCCAAGACTTAGAGACCCTGGCCCAGACCCTCGGTCCTTCAGTGGGTTCTGGGACCAGCAGCATTGGCGCAGCATGGAAACATAGTAGAAATGAAGAATCCCAGGCCACATCCCAGACCTGCAGGATCTGAAACAACTCCCCCCACCCCCTACCACTCCCCCCAAAAAAACCCGGCTGCATGTGTGCACATTAAAGCATGTGAAGACCTGGTTTCGAGGACGCCTAAGGTCCCTTGCCAGTTGATGAGTTCGAGGTTGGGAGGCAGCACCATGGATAAGAATGTGGGCTTTGAGATGACAGAGGCATCCTGGGCAGACAGATAGGTCAGGAGGGGAGGAGCAGAGATCTCTGCGGCATTTCCGCCCCTGAAAGTCTCCTTCCTCTCCGTGGGCCTGGAGGGAGAGTCAGGCCTCTTCACCCGCCGCACTCACCCACCTTCCCTCTCCTTTGTCCCACAGGCCCTGGTGATCACCAATGCAGCCAGAAAATCCTCCACGGTCGGGGAGATCGTCAACCTCATGTCTGTGGACGCCCAGAGGTTCATGGACTTGGCCACATACATTAACATGATCTGGTCAGCCCCCCTGCAAGTCATCCTTGCTCTCTACCTCCTGTGGCGGGTGTGTGTTTGACGCCGTTCCCCTTTGCATGCAGGGAGGGACTCGTACGTGTGGGCAGCGGGCTGAGGGAGTGGGTGTTGGTGGTAATGGCATGTATAGCTCCCTGGCAGTTCCGGCTGTCGTTCATATCTTATTTTCCAGCCTGTTAACCAATTCCTCGGTATTTTGTTCCTTTCCTGAATTGTCAGATTGATGTTCTCCTTGGTGGCCTGGCGTTTTCATTTTCTCTTTCCTTGACAGTGTCAGTAATTAACTCCCTTACAATGGACACATGTTTCTCCCATTGAATCCTCCCAAACGCTGACCAGACTCATTTATTCACTGGTCCCTAATTATGGTGGTCAAAATTCTCTCAATTGCAAGGGATAGACATCTATCTTAAAGTAGCCTAAGTAAATAAAGGGAACTTTGGGGCTGCATGTATCTCAGAAATCTGGGGACTAGCTTCAGGTGTGGATTGATCCAGGCGATCAGGCAATGTTGTCAGTACTCAGTTTCACTCACTCACTCATCATTTCCTAGCCCTCTTGTCCTCTGAGTTGACATCATTCTCAGTGGTACTTCCCCACATGGCTCCATAGCTTTGGGCTGATAACATCCTGACAGATAAAGGTGCCAGAGAAAAGACAAGGCAGCATTTCTCTGCACAGCCAGAGTCAGTCTCAGAGAGCACTCTGATTGGCCTGGCTTGGTCCTGTTCACACCCCTGAACCACATCACTGTAGCCCAGGAGGCAGAGTTCACTGATTGGCCAGCCTGGGTCACATGTCCTCTCCCATGGCAGAAGAGATGTGATTGACGACAGCCCTTCCATGTGAGGAGGGAGTGTTCCCAAAATAAAATGATGATGAGCAAAGAGGCTCATAGCACAACACATGCCTTGTGCTTTGCCACTTCTGGGTCTTTGTCACCTGCCTTTCCTTCCTTCCTAATTGATTTAAGCCTGCTCATCCCCCCCAGGCTATAGCAGACACTACTTGCATTGATTTCCCCTCCCCTCTTAATTAGATGGACTTTCTCGTTTTTTTTGGATTTTGAATCCCAGTAACTTTAGTATAGGAACTCATCTAATAATACTTTCTGGAGTAGGTTTTTTTTTTTTTTTTTGATACGGAGTCACGCTCTGTTGTCTGGGCTGGAGTGCAGGGTGCCATCTCGGTTCACTGCAACCCCTGCCACCCAGGTTCAAGCAGTTCTCCTGCCTCAGTTTCCCGAGTAGCTGGGAATACAGGCCTACACCACCAAGCCCACTAATTTTTCTTTTTTTTTTGTATTTTTAGTAGAGACGGAGTTTCACCATATTGGCGAGGCTGAACTTGAACTCCTGGCCTCAGCTGATCTACCCTCTGTGGTCTCCCCAAGTGTTGGAATTACAGGCGTGTCGTGCCCGGTCCACTTTCTGAAATAGTTGTTTTTTTTTTTTTTTTTTTTTTTATGCTCAGTGTACTGCCTCCTCTTTGACGGGTAACATGTTAGCTACTTGCAGACACACAGCAGCTGACTTTTGTGTCTTCGTGGGTACAACCCCAGCAGGGCCTGGTGCATAATGGGCACAGCTCAAATTATTACCTGTTATTGAAAGAGAAGGGCTGAACGAAATGGCTCATGCCTGTGATCTGAACACTTTGGGAGGCCGAGGTGGGTGGATCATCTGAGGCCAGGAGACCAGCCTGGCCAACATGGCAAAACCCTGTCTCTACTAAAAATATAAACATTAACTGGGCATGGTGGTATATGCCTGTAATCTCAGCTACTTGGGTGGCCGAGGCAGGAGAATGGCCTGAATCCGGGAGGCAGAGGTTGCATTGAGCTGAGATTGCACCACTACACTCCAGCTTGGGCAACAGAGTGAGAATCTGTCTCAAAAAAAAAGAAAGAAAGAAAAAGGAAGAGGAAAAAATTACTGGTTTATTTGTCTGTAGTTTGCTTTTTTTGTACATCTGTAGAGCAGAAGGTGGGTAAAGTGTTTCTAATAATACAACTCAGAAAAAAACACCAGAATTTAATTATCTAATAGGCTGGGCACAGATATAGGTGGCATGTGCCTGTAATCCCAGCACTTTGGGAGGCTGAGGTGGAACGACTGCTTGAAGTTAGGAGTTTGAGACCAGCCCAGGCAACATAGTGAGACCCTGTCTCTAAAAAAAAAAAAAAAAAAAATTAGCTGGGTGTGGTGGTGCCTACCCGTGGTCCCAGCTACCCTGGAGGCTGAGGCAGGAGGATTGCTTGAGCCTAGGAGTTCAGAGGCTGCAGTGAGCTCGGATCACACCACTGCACTCCTACCTGGGTGGCAAGACAAGACCCTGTCTCTAGAAGAAAAAATAAAAATCTGAACGAATGTCTTTTCAAGCAGATGTCTTGGGGAATCTACTTTCACAAAAGTGCTACTATGGGGAAAATATTTTTGGAACATGTCTTTTAGAATTGGCTTCAGGATTGGTTTGTGAACCATTAACAAAATTGTCTAACATCACATCTTGTTTTAGATGGTAGTTGCTTGAGTTCAGCACTGTTGACACTTGGGACCAGACAGTTCTTTGTTGTGGGGGCTGTCTTGTGTTTTTGTTACTTTGTTTTTGCTTTTAAGGGACAGAGTCTTGCTCTGTTGCCCATGCTGGAGTACAGTGATGGGATCATAGCTCACTGCAGCCTTAAATTCCTGGTCTCAGGCAGTTTTCCCACTTTGTCCTCTCATCTAGCTGGGTACCACAGGTTCACGCCACCATGCCTGGCTAAGTTATTTATTTTTTTTTAGAAATGGGGTCTCACTATGTTGCCCAGGCTGGTCTTGAACTTACACCCTCAAGCTATCTTCCCACTTTGTCCTCCCAAAGTGGTGGGATTACAGGTGTGAGTCACTGCACCTGGCCACAAGGCTATAAGTTAATACAGCAAAATTAGCAAAGATTAAGGAGCACATGGGGCAGTGTTCAAAGGAAGCCAGGTACAGGTTTCTGGGAGTCCCCAGCAGAGTCACACAGGTGCACTAATTCTCCGGCCACCATTATGATGATGCATGTGAAATGTTGCCAACCAGGGAAGCTTGGTAGGAGCCCAGTGCTTGGGGTTTTTTAGGGGCAGGTCACATAAGCACCCTTTGCTTGGCACATACCAAAAGTCTAGACTCCTAGAGGGAAAGCAGTGTTCAGCATAAACCATATTGTTGGTACAAACAGGTGAGGCACACTGAGCCACTCTTACCAGTTCTGTTATTGGTGGAAGCCCTGCAAGTATGCAGACACTAGCCAAGGGCTAAACTTGTAAGTAGCCTTCAAGCAGGATAAGCAGTCAGGTGGTCATGTTCACACTTTTCTGCTTACTACCTTATTACCTTTCTAAAAATCTAAGCTGGGTGTGGTGGCTCGCACCTGTAATCCCAGCTACTTGGGAGGCAGAGGTGGGAAGATCGCTTGAGCCCAGGAGTTCGAGACCAGCTTGGGAAACATAGTGAGACCTTGTCCCTACAAAAACAAACAAACAAAAAAAATTAGCTGGGCATGGTGGTGTGACTGTAGTCATAGCTACTTGGGAGGCTGAATTGGGAGGATTGCTGGAGCCCAGGAGTTGAAGACCAACCTGGGCAGTGTAGCAAGACCTAATGCTTACCTGTAGTCCCAGCTACGTTGGAGACTAAAGTAGGTGGATCACTGATACACATAGCCACTGTACTGCAGCCTGGACAAGATAGCGAAATCTCATCTCCTAAAAAAAAAAAAAAAAAAAAAAAAAAAAAAAAATTAGAATTCTAAAGTTGTAATTTACACAACTCATGTGGCCCCAGGTGCTTGGGAGAAAGGAGCATGGACTTGCTTATTCTTCAAGGGATTGGGAGGACCCAGAGAAATGCTCAGGAATGAAACCACAGGCTCTTAACACCCTATTGTGGGGTAAAAGTAACACACCTTGTCCTGAACTTGGTCAGCAGCATCCACATGGGATTGATCAGCCGGGAAGCTGTTAAGGGCCCTGCTTTCTCCTGTCTGGTGAGTGATTAAGAGTCTCCTTTCCTTCCTTAGAACCTGGGCCCTCCCATCCTGGCTGGAGTGGCCGTGATGGTCCTCATGGTGCCCGTCAATGCTGTGATGGCGATGAAGACCAAGACGTATCAGGTAAGGCATGTGTCTCTGCGGGCCCCCAAGCCAGGCCCTAGGCAGGAGCCTCTCCATGCAGATTTTAGTCCAGTTCCTTCTGCTCAGTCCCTGGGGTTCTCAGCCTTGCTTGCCAGTTGGAGTCACCTGGGGAGCTTTAACAAATGCTGATGCCCAGGCCCCGTATCTGGGATTCTGATTCACTTATCGTGAGTGGGGTCTGGACATCAAGATGTACAGCTTCCCAGGTCATTATATTGGGCGGCCAAGATTGAGAGCTCCTGACACATGGTTAGACCTTGTAGGCCGGTGACTGGAATCAGAAGGTCTGGGAGCCTCTGAGAATCTTTGTTTCCCATTGTCTTGTTTATTATGTGTGTGTATGACTCAGCTTTCAAGAGTTGAGTGCAAATTACCCCCTACTTTTTTCCCTCTTATTAGGTCTTACCTTGTACCAGACATGGTGTTAATGTCTTTATTTAAATTAAAATAAGTAATTAATTTCTAAGATGGGGCCTTGCTCTGTTGCCCAGGCTGGTCTCAAACTCCTGGGCTTAAGTGATCCTGTTGCCTCAGCCTCTCAAAGTGTTGGGATTACAGGTGGGAACCACCATGCCCGGCTTTCAGATTTTTATTTTTGGAGATATTTTGTATTTTAAAATGTTTAAATACACAAGTAACAGAGTGTGGTTTCTTGTTATAAAAAAGTTCAAGCCGGGCTCACCCCTGTAATTTCAGCATTTTGGGAAGCCAAGTTAGGTGGATCGCCTGAGCTTAGGAATTCAAGACTAGCCTTGGAGACATGGTGAAACCCCGTCTCTACCACAAATGGGTAAGTTAGCTTTGTGTGGTGATGCGTGCCTGTAGTCCCAGCTACTTGGGAGGCTGAAGCATGAGGATCACCTGAGCCCAGGAGGTCGAGGCTATAGTGAGCCATGATTGTGCCACTGCACTCCAGCCTGGGCAACAGAGTGAGACCCTGTCTCAAAAAAAAAAAAAAAAAGTTTAAATCATACAAAGTACTTAAAAGGGGATACCCCCTTCCCTACTCTCTCAACCACTGCAAATATATAGAAGCAACTCCTCCTAGAATTTTCTATGTATGTATATACAGACCTGATTAATGGTGTAGTTAGGTTTGGTTTTTATATATGTGGGGTTTTTTTGTTTGTTGAGATGGAGTCACACTTTGTTGCCCAGGCTGGAGTGTAATGGTGCAATCTTGGCTCACTGCAACCTCTGCCTCCCGGGTTCAAGCAATTCTCCTGCCTCAGCCTCCCGAGCAGCTGGGATTAGAGGTGCCCACCACCACACCCAGCTAATTTTTGTGTTTTTAGTAGAGACGAGGCTTCACCACATTGGCCAGGTTGGTCTTGAACTCCTGACCTCAGGTGATCCACCTGCCATGGCCTCCCAAAGTGCTGGGATTACAGGCATGAGCCACCATGCCTGGCCATTATATATGTTGGTCTGTGTGTGTGTGATATTATTACCATATCTGTTTTTACCTAAATGGGCCTACGTGACAGCATGATTTTTGTCTTTTAGTGCCCTGCTTTGGGGGCCTCTCTGTGCTATGCTGTATAGCTTCAATTCATTCTCCCGACCTGGTGCCTTTTGGTCCATCACGGAGATGGTGCGGTTTATTTCTGTGCTCTTCTGTTGATGGATATTGATGATGTGCTGTGGAATTTCAAATGGGAGCACTTGGCTGCCCTGATGGTACCACAGGGAGATGAGTTTCAGGACATGGGCCCGTTGGAAGGAGAGGCCTCACGGGTTAGGGTTGGGTGGGATTGGTGAGGCAGGGGCTTTAGGATCGAGTTACCCTTCAGTCTCTGATGTGTAGGATTCCCTGAGTGACCCGACTCTGAACCCACTTCAGTCACTGTCCTCGAGATCTTGTAGCTTAAATTGTTCCCATCTGTGACCCGGGGATGACTGTAGCACTCAATGATAGAGTTCTTGTGAATGTTAAGTGTCTGAATACATGTAAAGTGCTTAGAAAAGTTGCTGGTATACACGGAATGCTGGTGGTATTAAAAATATTTAACAACTGCACTGCACAAGTATCCACTGTTTGGAACCAGTGCTAGCCAGTACAGAAACATTTCACTATTTTAACAACCATGGGCCAGGCACAGGGGTTCATGTCTGTAATCCCAGCTCTTTGGGAGGCTGAGACAGGAGGATGGCTTGTGGCCAGGAGTGCAAGACCAGCCTGGGCAACATAGCAAGATGCCGTCTCTACAAAAAAATACGAAAATGAACTAGATGTGGTGGCATGTGCCTGTGGTCTCAGCTACTAAGGAGGCTGAAGTGGGAAGATTGCTTGAGCCCAGGAATTCAAGGCTGCAGTGAGCTATGATCGTGCCACTGCACTGCAGCCTGGATATCAGAGTGAGATGCTGTTCCCCCAAAAAAGAAAACTGGGCTGACAAGAAATAAAATAAAACAGGTTAGGTGTGGTGGTTCATATCTGTAATCCCAGCACTCTGGGAGGCTGAGGTCGGTGGATCACTTGAAGTCAGGAGTTCGAGACCAGTCTGGCCAACATGGTGAAGCCCCGTCTCTACTAAAAACAGAAAAATTAGCCAGGTATGGTGGCAGGCATTTATAGTCCCAGCTACTCAGGAGGCTAAGGTAGGAGAATCTCTTTAACCCAGGAGGCAGAGGTTGCAGTGAGCCCAGATCATGCTACTGTACTCCAGCCTGGGCGACAGAGCGAGACTGTCTCACAAAAAAAAAAAAAGAAAAAATAAGAAAACAGAGAAGAAAACCACCAACACCATGTCTCCTGTGTTTGGGTCAGCAGAATAGGGACTGAATCCCTTCTTTTCTGGACACTTGAAGGGTTTTTCTTGCCTCTATTTCTGGATTTGAAATTGAGTGTGTTTCTCCAATGAGTGTGTTTCTCCAAATCAACCTAACATGATTTGAAGGGTTTTTTTTTCCTTGATAGCGGAGTCCTTTGGTGTGGTCTCAGGACTCAAGAGTAGGGCTCATAGGGATTACAGGGTCAGCTCTCCCACCCTCAGGAGGCCTGTTTTTAATAGACAGTGATGTTAAGGCCCAGTGAGGTGGCTCACACCTATAATCCCAGCACAGGAGTTTGAGACCAGCCTGGGCAGTGTGCTGAAACCGCATCTCTATTGAAAAGAAAAAATCAATATAAAAAACATTCACGGCCGGGCACGGTGGCTCACGCCTGTAATCCTAGCACTTTGGGAGGCCGAGATGGGCGGATCACGAGGTCAGGAGATCGAGACCATCCTGGCTAACACAGTGAAACCCCGTCTCTACTAAAAAATACAAAAAACTAGCCGGGCGCGGTGGCGGGCGCCTATAGTTCCAGCTACTTGGGAGGCTGAGGCAGGAGAATGGCATAAACCTGGGAGGCGGAGCTTGCAGTGAGCTGAGATCTGGCCACTGCACCCCAGCCTGGGCGACAGAGCCAGACTCCGTCTCAAAAAAAAAAAAAAAATTCACATGTCAAAGCATATAATAAAATTTATGAGAAAGAATAGCTGGTGATGTTGAGTGATGGTCTGATCCCAGGGTCGCCCCAGATGTGTTGACTGCCTTTCTCTTCCAAGGTGGCCCACATGAAGAGCAAAGACAATCGGATCAAGCTGATGAATGAAATTCTCAATGGGATCAAGGTGCTAAAGCTTTATGCCTGGGAGCTGGCGTTCAAGGACAAGGTGCTGGCCATCAGGCAGGAGGAGCTGAAGGTACTGAAGAAGTCTGCCTACCTGGCAGCCGTGGGCACCTTCACCTGGGTCTGCACACCCTTCCTGGTGAGTGAGGCCACATTTTTCCTGGCCCTCATTATTTGATGTTTTATTTTGTCTGCATACCTGAATATTTTTAAAAGGTCACTATGTCGCCCAGGTGCAGTGGCTCATGCCTATAATCCCAGCACTCTGGGAGGCCAAAGCAGGTGGATCACCAGAGGTCAGGAGTTCAAGAACAGCCTGGCCAACATGGTGAAACCCAGTCTCTACTAAAAATACAAAAAAATTAGCCAGGCGTAGGGGCGCATGCCTGTAGTCACAGCTACTCGGGAGGCTGAGGCAAGAGAATTGCTTCAACCTGGGACGCGACGGTTGCAGAGGGCCAAGATCACGCCACTGTGCTCCAGCCTGAGCGACAGCGAGACCTTGTCTCAAAAAAAAAGAAAACAAAACAAAAAAAAGGTAACTATGTCAGCAAGGCCTTCCCTAAACACTTGCCTTAAACATTTGCCATCTTCTCCATTCTTCTTTATTTTATTCACATTTAGCAGCTTCTTAGCCAACCTGTTTAGGAATTGTTTGTTATCTGTTCACTGTGATATAGGCAGCTTGTGCCAGGATGCAAACCAGTGCCCTCTGCTTGCTGTGTTTAGATAGCCTTGCAAGAAACAAAGTGTGAGCTGAGCCAAGTGGCACGCTTGGTGCCATAGTTGATCTACATTATGGTGCTGCCTCCTTATTTTATCAGCAACTGGTCACAAAGTGTGGATTGCCAGTGTCCCGTGGGCCACATGTCAAGTGGCATGATCTAAACACACTCTAAAATTTACTTATTTTGTTCTGGGTGCGGTGGCTCATGCCTGTAATCCCAGCACTTTGGAAGTCCGAGGTGGGTCACTTGAGGCTAGGAGCTCGAGACCAACCTGGTCCACCTGGTGAAACCCCGTCTCTGCTTAAAAAAAAAAAAAAAAAAAAAAAAAATTAGCTGGGCATGGTGGTGTATGCCTATATTCCCAGCTACTCAGGAGGCTGAGACATGAGAATCCCCTGAACCTGGGTGGCAGAGGTTGCAGTGAGCCGATATCGAGCCATGGCACTCCAGCCTGGGCAACAGAGCAAGACCCTGTCTCAAAAAAAATTTAAAAAAAGTTTTTAAAAAAAATCAAATAGACTTATTTTATTGTCTGCCTTTCCCCACTAGGATGTCAGCTCCAGATGGCATTTTTGTCTTTTCTGTTGACTGCTATATCCTCAGTATGTAAAATAGTGCATAGCAGGTGCTGAACAAATATTTGTCATCCGTCGTGAAAAAAAAAGAAAAATACAGAAAGATGTAAAACGAAAAGTGTATTGTCCTCTCTTCCATCAATTCCTCTCCTCCAAAGTGACAGTTTTCTGTATGCTTTTAGAAAAAAATGGACAAGCATCTAGGTATTTAAATATTTTGACAGATTTAAATGGAATCATACTGTACATAGTGTTCTCTGTTGTGTAGTTAATAATATATAGTTTTAGTTCATTCATTCTGATCTGCTTCATTTTAGTTTTTTTTTTGTGGGGGCGGGGGGGGAAGTTTTGAACTGGTGTCTCACTCTGTTGCCCAGGCTGGAGTACAGTGGTGCGATCGTAGCTCACTGCAGCCTTGAACTCCTGGTCCCAAGCAATCCTCCTGCTTTGGCTTTCGAAGTAGCTGGGACTCCAGGTGCACTGCTGCCATGCCCGGCTTGCTTCATTTGTGTTCATGATGGATGCTTGTCTCACGTGTGGATGTGCCCTGCTGGAATTACCCTTTCTCCCATTCCTTGCAAAAACAGGTTGTTCCCTGTTTTTTTTTTGTTTGTTTGTTTTTTGTTTTTTTTTTTTGCTATTATGATCCTTGCTACACTGAAAGTTCTGGCACCTGTCCTGGGGTATGGTGACGGGTCTTTCCCTGCCTAACTGACTTTGAAAAGTTTAAAGACAATAGTGCAACTTACCATTTTGCAAAATTGGCTGCAAATCAGGAGACCGCATAGAGATGGACTATGGAAATTCCCTTTTAAGCACAGTTAAAAACAGTTAATGGTGAAGGATGACTTCAGATCATGCCCCGTGTTTGTTTTTTCTTTCTGTCTTTTTATTAACGGTGTGATTCTTTTTGTAATGTCGTGCTCATTACAGCTATTCCTTCTTGGTCAGATTGGCAAATCATATGTTTTTCTGGCAAGTTTCTGTGAAGCGGAGTTAAACATGTTTATGAATATGGAACTTTTCTGTTAAACTACCACCTGCTTCATCTTAGCTGGGTTGCAGGTGGAATGTCTAAGGAAGCTGCAGTCGTTTCAGCATTTGCAAAAGCGTGTTCATGCTGACAGTGAATTTTCTTAGTCTTGCCTTACATCTGTCAGGGTCTGGAACTGTAGGAGAGATGGTGTTCAAATTCAAGCCTGCATCACAATCACCTGGAGAGCTTGTTACTATGTTTTATTTATCTATCTATCGAGATGAAGTCTCAGTCTGTCGGCCAGGCTTGATTGCTGTGGCATGATCTTGGCTTACTGTAACCTCCACCTCCCGGATTCAAGCTATTCTTCCACCCCAGCCTCCGAGTAGCTGGGATTACAGGCGTGCGACACCACGCTCGGCTAATTTTTAAAATATCTTTAGTACAGATGGTGTTTCACCATGTTGGCCAGGCTGGTCTTGAACTCCTGACCTCAGGCGATCCACCCGCCTTGGCCTCCCAAAGTGCTGGGATTACAGGCGTGAGCCACTGTGCTGGCTTGTTACTATAAAACTCAGCTTTCTGGGCCCCACCCAGATTTTCAGTTTTAGCAGGTCTGGGTGGGGCCTGAGTATTTGCATTCCTGACATATCCCTGGGTGCTGCTGCTGCTGGTTCAGGTAGACGTGTAGAGACACTGGTGTGGATCCTCACTACTTATAGTGTGGTCCTTGGATCAGCAGCCATGGCATCACCTGGTGCTTGTTAACAGTGCAGAATTTCAGACCTCAGCCCAGATCCACTGAAACTGAATCGGTGTTGTAACTACTTTTCTAGGTAGCGTATATGCACATTGAAATTCGAGAGAGACTGACAGAAAGTAGGAGTAAAGAAACTTTTTCTGTCAATACTTTCGGAATTCCGGGCCGTACAGTCTCTGTTACAAATACCAGTCTCTTCTAGCGTAGTGCAAAAGCAGCCTTAGATAATACGGAAACCGATGGGTGTGGCTATGTTCCTGTAAAACTATATTTGGAGACACCGATATTTGAATTTTATAGAATTTGCATGTGTCATGTAATATTCTTTTAATTTTTTTTTTTTTTAGCTTTTAAAAAATATGAAATCTGGCTGGGTGCAGGGGCTCGTGCCTGTAATCTCAGCACTTTGGGAAACTGAGGCGGGTGGGTTGCTTGAGGCTAGGAGACTGAGACCAGCCTGGCCAACATGGTGAAACCCCATCTGTACTAAAAATACAAAAATTAGCTGGAAGTGGTGGTGCTCACCTGTAGTCACAGCTACTCAGGAAGCTGAGGCAAGAGGATTGCTTCAACCCAGGAGGCAGAAGTTGCAGTGAGCCAAGATCATGCCACTGCACTCCTGACTGGGCAACAGAGTGAGACCCTTTGCCTTGCCCGCCACCTCTCCCCTCCCCCCGACCCCCCCAAAAAAAATTAGCCGGGCGTGATGAAGCACGCCAGTCATCCCAGCTTCTTGGGAGGCTGAGGCAAGGGAATCGTTTGAACCCAGGAGGCGGAAATCGCAGTGAGCCGAGGTCATGCCACTGCACTCTAAGCCTGGGCAACAGAACAAGACTCTGTCTCAAAAAAATTAAAAAAAAAAAAAAAAGGAAATCAATGCTGAGCTCATGGGCCGCATGTAAACAGGTGTGGGCCAAATGTGGACCTCAGCCATCCTTGGCCAGCCCCTGGCTTAGAGGACTGGAATGTTCTTCTGAGACTCAGGACACTTGCCACGTTCTACTGCCAGCTCACAGTGTGACCCCAAAGCTGGTCATCTCACCTCACTGGCTCTAGGTTTTGTCACATGGAAAATGAAGGGGTTAGATTCCAAGCATGTCAAATACAGGGCCCTGCCCTCACTCCTCATGCCCACAGCAGACACCCACAGTCACTCAAGGGGTTCTTTCCCACTGAGTTATGTTCAAGCAGCCCTCCAGGTGACTGGTGCCAGTGGCCTGGAGTTGAGCAAGAAATGGCATTTTGTTGTCCCTCTGTAACTCCATGTTCCCTAAGATCACTTCCAGCTCCAATGCCCCTGCATTCTGCCTTGTACATTGCATTCCTCTTATATTCCAGTCCCTTGACTTTGCTGGGGTGCATTGACAAACTCTTTTTTTTTTTTTTCCTTTGGAGACAGTCTCGCTATGTCACCCAGGCTGAAGTGCAGTGGTGCCATCTCAGCTTAATGCAACTTCTACCTCCCAGTTCAAGCAATTCTCCTGCCTCAGTCCCCCGACTAGCTAGGATTACAAACACGCACCACCATGCCTTATTAATTTGAATATTTTTGGTAGAGACGGGTTTTTGTCACGTTCGCCAGGCTGGTCTTGAACTCCTGACCTCAAGCGATCCACCTACTTTGTCCTCCCATCATGCTGGGATTATAGGTGTGAGCCGATGCGCCTAGCCTCTCCTTTTTGTTTTTTTGAGATGGAGTCTTGCTCTCTGGCCAGGCTGGAGTACAGTGGCATGATTTTGGCTCACTGCAACCTCCGCCTCTTGGGTTCAAGCGATTCTTGTGCCTCAGCCTCCCGAGTAGCTGGGATTACAGGCACCCACTACCATGCCCAGCTAATTTTTGTATTTTTAGTAGAGATGGGGTTTCACCAGGGTTCAAGCAATTCTCCTGCCTCAGTCTCCGAGTAGCTGGGATTATAGGCGCATGCCACCATGCCAAGCCAATTTTTTGTATTTTTAGTAGAGATGGGGTTTCGCCATGTTGGACAGGCTGGTCTCAAACTCCTGGCCTCAAGTGATCCACCCACCTTGGCCTCCCATAGTGCTGGGATTACAGGTGTGAGCCACCATGTCTGGTCGGTCTTACTTTAAAAAGTAGAA